TGCCTGCTTCTTCTTCTGCCTGTCTCTGCTTCTCTCTCTCCTCTCTGTGTATTCTCAGAAATAGATAAATAAAATCTTAAAAAAAAAAAAAAAAGAAAAAGAAAACACAAATGGTCCAAAATATTTGGGATGAAGCAAAAGCTGTTCTGAGAGGGAAATCGATAGCAACATAGGCGTAATCCAAGAAGCAGTAAAATCTCAAATAAACAACCTAACCTTAATACCTAACAGAGCTAGGAAAAGAAGAACAAACAAAACCTAAAACCAGTAGAAGGAAGGAAATAATAAAGATTAGAACAAAAATAAATGAAATAGAAACTAAAATAACAGAACGGATTACTGAAACCAGGACATAGCTCTTTGAAAAGATTAACAAAATGTTTTAAACCTTCAGCCAGACCCATTAAAAAAGAAAAAGATTCAAACAAAATCAGAAATGAAAGAGGAGAGGAGAAACTGGGTGGCTCAGTCAGTTATACATCTGCCTTCATCTCAGGTCATAATCCCAGGGTTCTAGGGTCAAGCCCAACCATGTCAGGCTCTCTGCTCATAGAGAGCCTGCTTCTCCCTCTCCTCCCCACTCATGCTCTCTCTTGCTATCTCTCTCTCCCAAATAAATAAAATCTTAAAAAAAAAAAAAAAGAAAGAAAAGAGAAATGACAACCATTACCACAGAAATACAAAGGATTATAAGAGAATATTTTGAAAAATTATATGCCAACAAATTGGATAACCTATAAGATATGGATAAATTCCTAAAAACATATAACCTTCCAAAACTAAATCAGAAAGAAACAGAAAATTTGAACAGATCAATTAACAGCAATGAAACAGAATCACTAATCAAAAAACTTCGAACCAACAGAAGTTTAGGACCAGATGGCTTCACAGGTGAATTCTACTAAGCATTCAAAGAAAAGGTAATGCCCATTTTTCTTAAAATATTCAAAAAAAATAGAAGAGGAAGGAAAGTTTCCAAATTCATTTTATGAAGCTCACATTACCCTGATACCCAAACCAGATACTCACTACAAAAAAAGAAAACTACATGTCAATATCTGTAATGAACATAGATCCAAAAATCCCCACAAATATTTTTATTAGAAAAATGAATCCAACAATACGTTAAATCATTCACCATAATCAAATGGGATGTATTATTCCCAGGATGCAAGGGTAGTCCAATATTCACAAGTCAATCAAAAAGAGAAAGGATAAAACCATATGATCATTTCAGCAGATACAGAAAAAGCTTTTGACAAAGTAGAGTATGCATTCATGATAAAAACCCTCAACAAAGTAACATACTTTTTTATGGGGAACATACCTCAACATAATAAAGACTGTATATGAAAAATCAATAGCTAACATCATACTCAATACCAAAACTGAGAGCTTTTCCCCTAAGATCAAGAACTTTTCTAAGACAAAGGTGTTCATTCTCACCACTTTTACTCAGAGTACTACTGCAAGTCCTAGCCATAGCAATCAGACAAGAAAAAGAAATAAAAGGCAATCAAGTTGGTAAGGAAAAAGCAAGACTGTCACTTTTTGCAGATGACATTATGCTATATATAAGACTCCACCAAAAAACTAGAACACATAAGTGAATTCAGTAGGGTCACAGGATACAAAATCAATATACAGAAACCTGTTGCATTTCTATAAACTAATTATGAAGTAGCAGAAAGAGAAATTAACAAAACAGTCCTATTTACAATTGCATCAAAAACTAGCTTAAAGTGGACTAAAGACTTAAACATAAGGGGCACCTGGGTGGCTCAGCTGGTTAAGCCTCCCACTCTTTTTATTATTGATTTTTTAAAATTTTTATTTATTTATTCATAGACACAGAGAGAGAGGCAGAGACACAGGCAGAGGGAGAAGCAGGCTCCATGCAGGGAGCCCGATGTGGGACTCGATCCTGGGTCTCCAGGATCACACCCCAGGCTGCAAGCTGCGCCACTGGGGCTGCCCTAAGCCTCCCACTCTTGATCTCAGCTCAGGTCTTGATCTCAGGGCTGTGTGTTCAAGTCCTGCACTGGGCTCCACATTGGGTGTGGAGCCTACTTAAAAAAAAAAAAAAAAAGATTTAACTTAAACATAAAACCTGAAACCATGTATCTCCTAAAAGACAACATAGGGAAAAAGCTCTTTGATAGTGGTCTTAACAATGATATTCTGGATAATAACACCAACATTACAAGCAACAAAGACAAAAATAATTAAGTGGGATTCTATCAAACTGAAAACTTTCCGTACAGCAAAAGAAACAACAAAATGAAAAGGTAACTTACTGAATAGGAGAAAATATCTATAAACTATCTGATTAAGGAGTTAATATCCAAAATATACAAGGAATCATACAACTCAATAGGAGAAAAAAATCCAATTAAAAACTGACAGAAATAGCCAACAGACAGAAAAGGCCCTCAACATCATTAATCATCAGGAAAATGCAAATCAAAACCACAATGAGATACCACCTCATATCTGTTAGAATGGCTTTGATACAAAAGACAAGAGATAGTGAATACTGGTAAGGGTAAGGATAATAGGGAAGCTCACATTACCCTGCACAGTTGATGGGAATGTAAATTGGTACAGCTACTATGGAAAATACAAAAGTTCCTCAAAAAATTAAAATAGACCTACCATATCATCTGAGCAACCCAACTTGTGGGTATATATCCAAAGGAAATGAAATCACTATTTTGAGATATCTGCACTGCCGTATTCACTGCAGTATTATTCACAATAGCCAATACATGGAAATAACCTAAATGTCCAATGACACATAAATAAAGAAGATGTAAATGTGTGTATGTGTCTGTGTGTGTAAAGTGTATTATTCACCCACGATAAAGAAGGAAATCTTGCCATTTGTGACAATATGGATGGATCTGAAGGCATTAGGCTAAGTGAAATAAGTCAGAGAAAGACAAATACTGTATTTGTCTGTCTGTCTGTCTATCTATCTATCTATCTATCTATCTCTTACATGTGGAATCTGAAAAAGCTAAACCCATAGAAACAGAGAGTAGAATGGTGGTTGCCAGAGGCTGGGGGGTGAGGGAAATAGGGAAATGTTGGTCAAAGGGTACAAACTTTCAAGGAGAAGATGAAGAAATCCTGGTGATTGACTGCACAGCACGACAACTACAGCTAACAATACTGTATTATACACTTGAAAGTTGCTGAGAGAGTAAATCTTAAACATTCTCAACCCCCCCACACACACACATAATCCTGTGAGGTGATGGATGTATTGATTAATCTTACTACGGTAATTACCTCACTATATATATATATCTCATCATACTGCATCTCTTAAGTTTATACATTACACATCAATTATATCTCAATAAAGCTGGGAAAAAATTTAAAAAAGAACAGGAGATAAGGCTGTCTATATCAAATAGTAAAAGGGAGGGATATATCTTTTCTATAAAAGAAGTAGATATATTTTATCTATTTCAAACTTACAAATATAAAAATATAAGGAAAAAAATAATTCAGGAGATGCTACTGTAAGCAATAGCTAAAATACAAATAAATAAAAATCTTGAGAAGATTAAAGATTATGATCAGTACTGCTTTAAAAAAAGCAGAGGAGCATCTGGGTGACTCATCTGGCTGAGCATCGGACTCCTGATTTTGGCTTGGGTCATGATCTCAGGGTCGTGAGATTGAGCCCCACACTGGGCACTGCACTCAGTGCAGAATTTACTTGGGATTCTCTCTCCCTTGGCCCCTCTCCCTGCTAGCTCTCTCTCTTGCTCTCTAATAATTTTTTTTAATCTTAAAAATAAATAAATAAAAATAAATTAAAAAGGCAGAATCAAGGCTTAGGGTACAGAATACTGGAATATCCAAAGCTTTCTACACTACAGCATGAACTACAGATGTGTGATAATATTTATATGAAAAAAAGAGAGCACTAATATCCAAAATCTATTAAAATAAAGTTATTCTCAGATAAAATTGGGCATATGATTTTTAAAGTTGTTTTAAGCAGAAAAAATTATAAATAGACGAACACTCTGTAAGCATTCTCTTTTGATACAAAATTTAAATCTCAGTAGAAAACAAATTACCCATAAATTTATAATTCATTGATCACCACTGTTTACACACAAGTGTATTTATATCTAGACTTTTTATCTGTACCTACTTATACAATATACTCCATACATGTTTTTTAGCTTTTTATTACTAAATTACAATCATACTCTCTGTATAAAATTTTACATACTACTCTTAACGAATGTTCCCATCCCATGTCATTTATTAAAAATAAATGGAAACATGTTTCTGGCACTACAATATTTCAAGTTATGTATGCACCATAATGCATTAGACTATTTCCAGTTTTCCATTATTGTTAAAATGCCGTAGTGATTATTGTTATATATAAATCTTTGAATCTGATCACCTTCTTGAAAGAAGTATCTAGAAGTGCCTAGGTGGCATAGCTGGTTGAGTGACCAACACTTGGTTTCGGCTCAGCTTTTGATCTCAGGGTCGTGAGATCTAGCCCTAAGTGGGGCTCTGCACTCAACCTAGAGTCTGCTTGCATTTCTCTCTCCCTCTCCTTCTGCCCTTCACTTCTGCATGCTCTCCCTCTCAAATAAATAAAAATCTTCAAGAAAAATATCTAGAAGTATGATTTCTAAGCTAAGGGACCTAAACATTTTTAAGAGTCCTGATAGAAGATATTATTTTCCAATAAGAAAACTGTCTTATGTCTAATTATGTCTCACCCATAATCCACAGTATATGACAGTGCCCTTCTAAAGTATGTGTTTACATGTTTACCTCTCTAAAAAGACTATAAACTCTTGTGCAAACTCATGTTCATGTCATATTCATTTTTGTAACCTGGTATCGACCACATAGTAAACGCTACATAAATGGCAACTGAATTACAGCACAGTGGCAAAGTATACTTTTTATGTGAAAAATAATGAGAAATTCTCATTGGAAACATACTGTCCTACCTCTGCTGCTGAAGCAAAGGAATCAGTTGATGCAACGCTCAAGGTGTCTCGCAGGCCAAATTCATCCATATTCCCCTTCATGGTGGTATCTGTATCTTTATCTTAAAAGTAAAAGAAGAAAAGTTACAAAACTGATAATTCTATAGTACATCTGTCTGTCTGTCTCTTTTGCTTCTGTCTTTTCATCTTTCTTTAGACTAGAATTTAAAAGAAAAACAATAAATAGAAGCCAGTGGCATATCATCTGATAAGATTCTCAAAGTGTATTCATTATTGAACTAATTATGAAATACTGCCAGAGGAGAAAATGCAACAAAGCAGACATCGTTACTTTAAAAAAGGATTAAACTTTTTTTAAGATTTATTTATTTATTCATGAGAGATACACACACACACACACACACACACACAGAGACAGAAACAGAGAGAGACAGAGAGGCAGAGACACAGGCAGAGTGAGAAGCAGGCTCCCCACAGGGAGCCTGATGCAGGACTCCATCCAGGACCCCAGGATCACACCCTGAGCCAAAGGCAGAGCTCAACCACTGAGCCACTCAGGTGTCCCAAGGGATTAAACTTAATATCAGATTTTAAAAGCTTCTGAATATGTAATAATTTACACAGGTATATAACTAGAATTGGATTATATACCATACATTGTAAAATCAGCATATGCCAGAGAAGTATGAAACACAGCAAATTAGTTGTAAGTGACTTTGCCCAAATTATGAGAACTCGTAGGTTCATTCAAATTAAATGAATTATTAACATAAAATGTTGTCTGGCCAGTCACTTGTGATAAACTTATCAATTGAAAAACAATTCAGGAAGGTATCTAGGCCTGGGTGGCTCAGCTGGTTAAGTAGCTGATTGCTGGTTTCAGCTCCAGTCATGATCCTGGGATCCTGGAATCCAGTCCCAAGTCAGGCTTCACACTCGGCAGGGAGTCTGTCTGTAGATTCTCTCTCCCTTTCCCTCTGTACCTCCCCCTGCTCATTCTCTTTCTGATAGATAGATAGATAGATAGATAGATAGATAGATAGATAGATAGATAAGATAGATTAGATAGATGATAGATAGATAGATAGATAGATAGATAGATAGATAGATAGATAAAGTATCTAAGTTCTTTGGTCCTGAGGGCCTACTTTAAAACACTGAAAGGGTAAAAACAATCAGAGCTAGGTCCCTGATGTTTATTCTGGCTACCTGAAGGTCAAATATAATTGCCCCAATGATTATAAGGGCTGAAAAGTTTAAGTACATTGGCAAATGATTTATCTGGCCATGTCAAGACAGTCTATCTATTAACATATGCAACATTCTGAATGTGAGTTTCAAAATCTTCACATACTATCTGTCATCAGGAATCTGGTAACATTGGATTTTTAAATAAATATTAAACTTACTTATAGATGTGTCTACATTGTAGCAAATAAATGATATTAGAAGTACAAAAAAGCAAAAAACAAAATATATACTGATTTTTCTTACTGATTCTCAATCTGCTAAGTTTGTCAGATACTTTATCTTCTTTAAAAAGGAACCAGAAATCTCTCTGGCTTTCATTCATCCAAATTTCTATTCCATCATTTTCCCCAAAATAAAGTTCATTACCTTTACCAGAAATTTTCCAAGTCCTATTTAAAACTCTCAAATACCAGAAAACATTGACTTTTGTGATTCTGTATAGGAAATGTAGAGTTTTTAAAATGCAAACCATTAATTTAATTTAAACTCAGAAGTTTTACAACCCACTTATATTCCAAACTGTAAACCAGCAGAAAAGCAAATAAGCCATTATTGGCACAAGGTTCATTCCTCTTAGGTATTGGTTATTTTACCATACACATAGCATATTTTTTTTCCTACTTTATATCTAGTGAGCCCATATTTGACAATTTAACCTTTTATCTTCCAAGTTTAAGGTATAATTGTTTTCAGATGAAGTTTACATCAATCTTTTTAAAGTACCTAATTCACAGCTTAAAATCCTTCTACTTCTAAATGACTATTTACAGAACAAAATCAGAAATTAAATTATTTTATTTTCAAAAATATACACTCTTTTAGGAATTTAAATTTTACATTGAACTTGAGAACTAAACAACATAATTAGTTTTATGCTTATAAACAGTATAAGATGGGTATTTTTGGACATTCAATTATCCAGAAAAATTCCCATTATTTTCAGAGTATATGGGATTTTTTAAAATGCACAAGCTTTGGAATAAATCATTTATAAAACTGAACTTGCATTTACAACTTTCAAACCTTTATCTTTTAGTTATTTTTCCATTGTTAGTATTAGTTGTGCAAAATGAAATCACAGTACAATTTTCATTATGCCAAACCTCTTTTAAAGCAGGATTAAGTTACAAGTCAATTAAGTTAAATCTTGGTTCCATATGACTTTTGCTATTTTCAGAGTGGAACACAGACATTTATCTAATGTCACTTTACCTTTCAGACATTACCCAGGGGCTGTTAAAAGTCTGTTTTACTTCACTCAACAGTAACCAGCTAGTACTTTACTCAAAAAAAAAAAAAAAAAAAAAAATTCCTAACAAAGAAAAATGGCTGGAAGGAATTGGAAAGATTTATTCATTAAATCTAATTTCGTAAACCACAGACCATACCTCTCATTTTCAGTAACTGTTATGATTCCTGGAATGGCAGCTTAAGTTATGAAGAGAAATAATACATCTGTTTTTTAGATAAGCCAATAAAAAGCATAAAGAAAGAATACTGAACAAGATCTCAAACTACCTGCTTTCATGAATCAAGTTAAAATTTAAAATACTCTTTCCAAAAAGTATAAACTCTTGATTGTAGTACTGAAAGACAGGGACAGGATGGAAAACTGAAAACAAATGGCTTCATGTTAGTCAATATTTTCAGAAACATTTTATCAAATTTTTCTTAGCAGAAAAAAGTTGCAAACACCACATTATCATTACACATCTATAGAATGATATAAATTGGAAAAAATGGCAAATTTGTTTGTTTGTTTGTTTGTTAAGGGTGTACAAGAATGGAAACTCACATACCCCTGATAGAAATGTCAATTGGTAGAACCACTTTGGAGAGTTTGGCAGCATTTATGTAAGTTCAAGACTGCATTCTCTGTGGTTAGCAATTCTATCCTTAGGCGTTTTTTTTTTGTTTTTGTTTTTGTTTTTGTTTTTTTTACAGAAATCCATGTTTATATGCAAAAGAATGTTTGTAACACCACAGCTTATAACAACTCCAAATTAGAAAAAACCCACAATTGTCCATCAACCATAGAATACATGAATTGGGGGTATATTCAAACAATGAAATACTGTACAACAATAAAGAATTGCTGCTATATGAAAGAACAGGATGAATCTCACATGTTGAGTGAAGAATTATATGTACGATTTTATTCACATAAAATTCAAAAACAAGCAAAATTAAACTACAGTGCTCAACATTTAGTTGGTCAAACTGTAAGAAAAGCCAGGAGGTAATGAGAATGAGCATCAGGACAGTGGTTAGTTTTAGGTGTATAAGGGAGGGCTGTTGACTGGGACTGGGTACAAGGGTACAAGGGGACCTTCTAGGGAGTTGTCAATGTTTTACTTTATTATTATTATTATTATTATTATTATTATTATTATTAGAGATTTTATTTTTTTAAAACAATCTCTACACCCAATGTGGGGCTCAAACTCAATCCTGAGATCAAAAGTCACATGCTCTACCAACTGAGCCAGCCAGGTCCCCTGGCAATGTTTTAATTTTTAACGTTTTTTTTTTTTTTAGATTTTATTTATATGAAAGAGAGAGAGTTAGCAGGGGGAGAGGCGAAGGGAAAGGGAGAAGGAGACTCCCACTGAGCGGGAAGCCCCATGTGGTGCTTAATCCCAGGACCCCAAGATCAGACGTTTAACCCACTGAGCCACCCAGGCACCCTTGCAATGTTTTTTTTTTTTTTGATCTACATGATAGCTACACAAAAGAGTGGGATAAATCACCATGCTTTTTTGTTTTGTGTACTTTCCCCTAAGTGTTTACAGAGAAGGAAGGAAAACAATGTATCTATATATCTTGCCCCCAAATGGCTGAGAGCAGAAAAGACAATGAAGTATTTCAGTGTTGATAGTAAAGCTATAAATTATTTAGACATGAGGGCGCCTGGGTGGCTCAGTAGGTCAACCATCTGATCCTGGGGTCCTGGAATGCAGCCTGCTTCTCACTCTCCTTCTGCCCCTCCCTTCCACTCATGTGCTCTCTCACTCTGGTCTCTCTCTCTCAAATAAATAAAATCTCTAAAAAATTATTAGACATGAGTTTTATTCTCTGATAGAGGAAGCACCTATAGAGATTCTAAGTTCAAAAAGTCAAAGGATCTGGTAAGTATAACAGCAAATTGAAAATAATTTATCTGAAAAGAAAAAAGAAAAAAGGAAAAAGTTTATCTGTATCCCATAGTAGAATACCAGTAGTTGTGGGAGACTCCAATGTCATGCAGGCACTACTCACAACCTTCTTCCTCCTGGCTTACCAATATTTCTTTGCTATTTAGTGATTGGTTTAGAATTTTAAGCAGGAATGTTTTGGTGGGGTTAATCACTATTTGCAGGAAGAAGACATAGAAACTAAGCGATGCTTGCTATTTAATGGCAGTAACAATGTGATGAAACCAATATACATTTATTTTACACTTACCATTTGCCAGAAACCAAGTTACATGCTTTACATACATTACCTCATAATTCTTAAACTAATCCTTTGAGTTAGCTACTATTCTTTTTTTCATTTTATATATCCAGAAGCCAACATACAGAAATGCTAAGTGTTGATCCATACTCACACAGTTAAGAAATGGAATGGCAGGATTCAAAACAGGTCATCGGACACCAGATTCCATGCTATGAAACTATGGAGCTGTGGTGTCCAACATAATTGAGCACATGAAATGTGGCTAGTCAGAATTGAAATGTCCTTTAAGTGTAATATACACAATCAATTCTGAAAGCTTTGTACCAAAAAAAAAAAAAAATCTTATTACTATAAATCAGGTTTAAGAAAATGTATTAATTTCACCTCTTTAATTTTACTTTTTCATGTGCTT